GCGGTGATTTCATATTTACTCTAACTATTCAGTTTTGGAGAATAATCCAGGAAGAATTTTAGTAATCGATAAACCAAACCAATTGCAAATGCCTAGCATGTATGACGAAGCAGTACATAAGTGAATTTAGTTTATAATTACATAGGTGATCAAATCCTTCGTATGAAATACTTGTGCAAGAAGCATCGATAGTTTCAAGCTTTATCTGTCCTGTACTGATAGGTAGATCAGCAGGTACGTCCTTGATGGCCTGGTACCAATAGTCAGAGCCCGCAAATTGCACCCGGCCACCAATTCTGCATATCATGTGAGCCACAGCAAGATCCAGTCCATACTTTTTGAAATCATCATCCGAGATTCTGTTGCTATACTGAGCAGAAGCATAACCTACTTTTGTCGCTGCCTATTCTTTTCTTTAATTCGCTTTAATATGCGTTTTTCTATAGCAGGAAGGGAAAAATCCGCCTTATATGTAATATTTAGATAAATCTCTCTCATATAAACGGTTAATGGTTGCACAGAATTGTCCACTAATCCTGAATATAACTTCACTTTAGAACCATCTTCTGAAACGTAGTCAATTATCTTGAATTAATAAAGGAATGGTGAGTTGATACCTTTGGTTTGCAATATATAGATCTTGTAAATCCAAGACCGTAATCCTCCTGCTTCGAATAGGCAAAGGTGAGTCTGAAGAACCTTCTTGGTATAACAAGAGAAAGACGAATACTACTCATTGCATATCAAATTCAACGCCAACTCAATATATAAAAATTATTAGAGTAATATTGTTGAAAGATGTTTTTATTTATAAAAAATAAGAAATTTTTATATCTAAGATATTATTAGCGCAATTAAGTGGTGCCTATTTAAAATGCTTCGCAAACTCGTTAATTTACGCAATTACCTCCCGTTAAATTGTCTCAAAATCGGCATTTCTGCTTTGCAAAAACATTTGGTTAATCAGATACACATGTTTGGCCCAATTACCATTGCTGAATATATGCTAAAAGCCTTAACACATCCAACAATGGTAATTATATTGTCATTTATTGAGTTCAGGGCTATTACACACGGAAGAATGTACTTGGAAAAAAAGGTGATTTCATAACGTCTCCAGAAATTAGTCAAATATTTGGGGAGGTAAAGCTTTTTTTTTATTTTCAAAGTTGATCGGGGTATGGGTGTATCACGAATGGAGGGAGCAGAACTCTCCCGAGAATATTCAGATAGTCGAGCTAGGCCCTGGACGGGGAACGCTATTTTGTGATGTTTTGAGAGTATAATTATTTGTGGATTTATCACTTCATTAGACCTTTAGTTCTTTCTCTGACACTAAAGCAAGTATCTCTCTTCAACTTATCGAGATAAA